TGTAAGCTAATAAAGGAGCTGAACTGATTCTGGACTGTCTCGCTGTTGTTCTTGGGCTGAACCTGACAGTGATAGACGTAGCAGTGCCAAGTGACAGCAACATCAGAGAGAAGGAGTATGAGAAGCTGGAGAAGTACCAGGGCCTGAAGGAGGCACTAGAGAGGATGTGGAAAGTAAAGCCCAAAGTGGCCCCAGTGGTGGTAAGAGCACTCAGGGCTGTGACTCCCAAGCTGGGAGAGTGGCTCCAACAGATCCCAGGAACAACATCGGAGCTCTCTGTCCAGAAGAGTGCAGTGCTAGGAGCAGCTCAGATACTGTGCAGAACCCTCCAACTCTCAGGCCTCTGGTGGAGGACCCAAAATTAAGGAAGACACATACCATCCATAGGGGTGAGAGGGGATTTGTGTGTGTGTGTGTGTGTGTGTGTGTGTGTGTATAAAGATTTTTTGCACATTTTAGTAAAGATCATATTGTTTTGGTAAAGTTAAGTTTCAAGTTTAGAAGATAAAATATTTTAACAATGTAGGCATTTTCATTAAAATGATTTGGAAATATTGTAATGATGGCATCTAATAAATAGCAGATTAATAAAAGAATCCTATTGGTACTTACAGCAGGAGGGAAGATAGACTGAACACGACGCTACAATAGCAGAACAGTTATACCCTATATATGCTGGGCTTCTTGGGGTGGGGTGACACAAAATGATGTAGAAATCTCAGAAATACCTAACCCTGCATTGTACACATCGAGCTGTCTTGATGAGGATTGATGCCCACCTATCATTTGCACCCACAGAGAAGTGATAAACCTATAGTTAGTACATTCCACTAACAATATTCATCAATCATACAAAAAGATGCCACAGCATCCCCAATCCATCACCCCACTGACTGTGGCGGCAATGATTCCTCGCTGACAGGTCACTGTTATTTGTCTAGGCAGCCATGTAAATCTTCACAAACGCCATTTTGGAGCCCAACACACACATACACACAAACACATATACCTACATACACATGAAGGAAGGGCTTCTATATCTCAGGGAACAGCAAGTAATTTACAACTGGGTAGTCTGAGGGAAACAAACAGATCAAACATTTTCAGGGTCAACTTACTAGTTAATACACCATGTGGATGTGGTTGAAAAATGTATCTGCGTGGAAACAGTCCATAAGGAAGCAGAATATTTGCTGGTTTTTGTTTTTTTAAGTATTACACAGTCATGGTGAATCGGGAGGTTGAAACTACGCTAGAACTGAAACATTTTCTGTTATTGGTCTGTATGAGGCTAATGGGAGGAGAATGGATGCAAATATGAATGTTTTGAAAATGTTTTGAAAAGCGATATACTGAGTTATTTGGCCCTTTGTATCTGAGTGAAATGTACCCATTAAACACGTCAAGACATTTTGTTTGTTTAAACTAGTAATGCTGGTCCAGCAACTGGGACAGCAAGTTAATCACTACAGTACTTGAAAGAAGAAGATGAGTGTTTTAAGTTAATTGTTTAGTCTTCCTATCTGTCTTTGAAGGTCTGTATGCTTTGAAGCTTTAAGGGTTTTGAATTCTCCAAGATGAATGTTTCTTGATGTAACAGTCTGCTTTCAAAAACAGTGTACTTAGGCAACGTAAGATTTGTTTAACATGATTTTTTAATCTTTTTTAGGCAAATATTACATCAGCTTCTTGCCATTTATGGCTTGATATTTTTACTAAACCCAGAAGAGGTCACTGTTTCTCTTTTGAGTGTATTTGACAACCACCCTTGGAAGTAGCTTTAAAGTATTTAGAGACCTGGAACCTGTTAAAATGGCATGCCATGCAACTGAATGATTTCCAATATCTTCATTATATTCTCTAGGGAATTTGGCTTAACATAACAGCTGGAATGGATGAACATAAATATATCAGTAGTGAGTGAAGTTGTGTTATTAATGTTTCCCAGCATGCATTTTAATTTGAGATTTAGCCATTGAAGCACAACATGATTGTTGCCTGGTCTTTATTGAAAACATTCAGCATCTTTGTTACAAGCTAGGCAGTGACCTGGACTGGAATTGAGATGTTGAATGCTTTCCTTTTACTTGGGACTTTTTGGAGAATGTCTTGCTTCAATAACTCTGGGCCTATCCTGTTATTAAAATGCTATAAATAGGCTTACTGTACATCCCAGTTTGACTAGGCTTGTCCCAGTTTTGTACTTCAGTTCAGGTGTCCTAGCTGGATTCCCAAAAAAGTTCCAGAAATTAGGGCTGCACAAGCAAACAGGGAGTGAGATTTGAAAAAGTGCTAAAGCTGAGCTTTGTCTGTGCAAATCTGCTGATCATGAGCATTGTGCCCCGTTAACTGATTGAAAATATGGTATGCCTAACTGTAAGCACCTGAGTTATGAACGTATATTTTGTCAAACTGAGAAGCACGATTTTTCTTGGCATAATGGAGACCATTCTCATGATCTGATTTTACTACATCTGTTCAATCTGCCTCTGTATTATTTAGAAATAATTTCAGTTACTAAAATACATTTTGCACAGAGAGGGAGCAACATGATGTTCAGAAATTGAAAGGAGACTTCTGGCATTGACCTCCTCCCTGCTGCCATGGTATCCCTGCATCCATGTGTCGTTTGTTGGCCAGATGTTCGGCCTGCCTCGGGGCATAGGTGCTTTTATTGTTAAGGTCATTAACAATCTAGACAAAAGTGAGTTCCCTGATGATCAAACAATTTCATGACTGGGGCTTGCCATTACATAAACTATAATATTTCCCAGTTGTTTCTGTGGATGGGGAACTTCCATTTCAAGGCAGTTGCTGGGTCCAAAACTGATAAGCCACAAAAAAAGAAACCAAGGAGTTAGAACTTTGCATGGCCTTTTGTACCTTGTTGAACAACAAAGAGAACTCTCTCTAGCCTGATCAAAAGAAAACTCAGTTCTCCATGTTCTGTTGCTAATTAATAGCTTTCCTTGTCTCACACAGACTATTGTACAGGTAGCCCTCGTTTAGCAACTGCCTTGTTTAGCAACATTCGCAGTTACAGCGGTGATGAAAAAGTAACTTTATGACCGATCCTTGCATTTACAACTTCTGCAGGTCTGCAAAGCAAAGGAAAGTTTAAGTTGGATCATAAGCACAGTTGTGGTTTTACTTAGCAACTGCTTTGCCTAATGACTGAGTTGCTTGTCCCAATTGTGGTCACT